GTGTTGACAAATAATGATAAAATCTATTATATACTATATAGAGTTAGGGACAAGCTAAGTAATAGTTAAATTATAAGAATTAAAAATTGAAACAAACAAAGAATGAAGTAGGAACCTCAAATCGACCATGAATAAATCCCAATATACTTAAAGTCGATATGGTTCTTGTTTATTAGTGACTTGATTTGATGAATTTGACATTAATATGCTATATCCCTCTATGAGAAAATGGAAGTTCATCCCCAAAACACTGATGTGATAAGTTAAACATATATTAAGACAATTCTTAAGATTGGCCTTGCTTTTCAGTTCCCTTATTACGTTCTTAGAGGTCATACCAAAGTCACATAAAGTATATATAAGAACCTCAACCAATTCATCCTGCTCCAAAGAACTCACTTTCTCATCATCATATTTCCTATCGAGGGCACTATTTTTTTCTTGCTCCTCTTCAGAACCTTTATCATCGTCAATTTTTATTGTCAGAAAACTTAGAGTTTTGAGTAAGAGTAAGATTCCAAAATAGAGTAGTGACTGAAAGCACCACAACTTCAAAAGAAAATAAGGGAAAAAAAAACTCTATGAGAGAAAAAATGTGTCAACAAAAGTTGACCAAGAAGGAATAGAAAAAACAACGAGAGCATTTATGGGTAAAAGAGCATATGAAGAAAAAAATTAATGAAATTAAAAAAAAAACAATCGAAGATGAAAGAAAGTTGATCATAGAAGATGGATCAACCCAAGAGATAAGAAAAAAAAGCTTGATTCTTTAAATCAAAATTCATTTGAGCACATAGCTCTTTTATTCTCAAGACCCGCTCTCTTCTTGCTTGAACATTCTCACCATTCTATAATGATTATTTTTAGACATAGGGTTGAGCCAATAAATGCTCTTATAATAGTTTTAACCTCTGATAATTGGTGGGACTAGGTCATTGTCATCTTTATCTTACCAAAGCTAACCCTCTAGGCTCTACCTTAAAATTTTTAACCTTCTCAAAATTGAAACTATAAGACATGATGAAAAAAAATGTATTGAAAAAATAAAAAGAGTAAATGAAAAGAAAATAATGATAAGGTTGGAAAGAAGAAAAGCTTTTAAGGTCAAAAAATTTAGATCGAACAGAAAGTAAAAAAGTAGAAAGGTGAAAATTGAAAGCCCCAACAGACCTTTATATAACCATGCCTTAAATCAAATAAACTACTCAGATTATGCCACGTGTCAAAATGCCATTGAAAAAAGTATTTTCTCTTTTCTTGTTCTAAATTTTATCGCTTAAATTACTTTTTTTCTTATTTAATAAAACCTCAACCACTTAACCTGGTTAAACCAACCATGCTAGGTGGCTCTCCAGATTGAACCAACCTAATGTATTGATGGCCACTTCATCACTAAAATTAAAAAAAAAAAAAACTAAAATCCAGACTTTTGAAAAAAAAATCTAAGTATCACATTGACCAGGTGAACTCCTATCTTAATCTCGAATCATCTCGAACAAATGACATTTTGGCAACCTTCAAATTAGCCATGCACTCAACACAAAGCACATGCGTAAGATCATATTCATATTAGGTTGGCCCATATCATATCACTTCAGGCCGTAGTAAAAAGCTAATTATTTTTTGATGCTTACCTTTATGTCAACCTTGGCCATAGGAGATCGAATCTCTCGTAACCTCCTTTAAGTTGGTCAACCTATGCGAAATGAACTAACAGTATGCCTAACAGTCTAATATTCAGACTACATGGCAAAGAGATAGAATGTTATGAACATTTAATGGTCTAAAGGGTATAATAGCCTTTTTCTTCATTACGGGCCCCTAGCAAACAGCTAGAGATATTTCAAACATTTACGTCAACCTGACATATCAGGTTGACCTGACACACTCAATATCACATTAGCTCAATCACGTCATTATTGTCCCTCATTGACCCTGTACCTCTTATCTATAAATATAGGCATACAGGTATTGTCATTCCATGTTTTATCTTATCTTGACCTTTTATCTTTCTTTCTATTCTACCTTTTTCATTGTGATTTTTGACTTGTGTGTAGGAGTGCAAATATAGGGGATACTTTATGTCTTTGTATCTAACCACTCTCTGTCGATTTTTTGTTCTTTCAAGAATATCCTCACATCAAAGCTTGGCACAAACAGGTAGCCATTTGTCCAAGAAAATTCAAAACTACATACAATGTGACTTTTGAAGAACATTTTCAATTGTTTGACATGTAAAAGTAGATCTGACAAATGGATAAAACTTGTTTAGCTTTAATGATTCCACATTTTAAGTGATGGAAAAGCTTTTCTTTCAATTCATAAAACTAGTAAGTTTCAATTTCACAAATTGTAGTGCTAGTTAAAAGGTTTAAAGCCTATAGTTTTAGTTAATTCTAGCTGTTTTATTCAATAACAAGACGATTGCTGCAAATTCTAATTGTTTTCCACCAAAACCTACTGTAATCATTCATTTTGTATAGACAACATCAAGGTATTGGCCTAAAAACCCATGATCATCAGTCTATCTAATCTACAGTACTAGATGTAAGCTCCATATTCATTATTCTTTAAATAAATCTTTCATTAATTAGGGAAACTTTTAAGCATAATCATCCTAGTGGAAACAAGAAAAAAAGGCATAAAAGTAACAAAATTGTTTCTTTTACCAATATCAAAAGTTAAAAAATTCATCTATTACAACCAACTGGTTTAATCTATAAAAAAAATAAAAGAAAACCAAAATTAGTTTATCATTGATCCTAGGTTAGGCACTTATTTTGTCCCATACCAAATAATCTTCCAGCCTCAGTTTTAGGTGCAAACTTTACAATAAAGTCCTAATAGTATGAATTAACTTAAGATTGTGAACCATAATAAGTCCAAGTCTTTGGTCTTTAATGAATGCATTGATTCTCATGCTAGATTAAACCATTCCTTTTCCTAGACCCAAGAGTTGCCAAGAATTAAGTCATTGCCAAAGCGATATCCTTGCAAAAAATGGTACCTTCATAAAGAGAATTTCATAGCCATTATCTTGGCTCACAAAGGCCAAGTCTAGCTCCTAAGTAGCTCTCAACTTTGAGTTTGAGACATTGAATGAAGTTGTAGTTCAGGTTCTAATACAGCAAAATCAGAATCATTTGAATATTTAATGGCCATTATTAACATAAACATGAAAGAACATGAAAGAAGCAAATACAATTCCAAAGACTTCCATATTCATGATCCACTTTCAAAAAGAGAAGAGTCTCAAGGGGATTAAGAAGCATCTTGAATGGACCATTCACATGGATTTTCATTATTTGTAGTTTTTGATTGGGGCATAATAGTTTTTTTGTTTATCTGAACTCTATTGGCTAAGAATTGGTACCAGTTTAATATTGTTCTAACTTATTGTTTGGTAAAGATTTCCTAACACTAAATGAAGCTTTTTTATGTCTTTTGTTTCTGTTTTCATCCAACTTTTTTTTTTAAGAATAGAAATTTTGACCTATAAAATATTTAATTTTAAATACTAGGAGTATGTATTTTTACAAAAAAGAATGGGTTCAAATGTCAAATGTCAAATGTCAAATTATCTAAAAGCAACTGAATCTAAAATGGGGTGTTCTTAATTCACCACTAAATTTTTTTTATACATTTTCAAATTTTCTTCTAAAAATACCTGCATATCAAATACCAATTTTAACCTTTAATAAATGAGAAAAATACCCTTAATAACTTATATGCCCAAAAATCACCTCATCTTTCTTGGAATTGAATTTTCGATAGTTATATTGTATCTTCAAAAAATCATTTCCAAAAAAAAATATAATTATCAGAAATAGATTATTAAGAACAAAACATAAGTCTTGTAAATTTCATTTTCGAAAATACATAAAATTTTTTAAATATATATTTAATTATAAACTTTTGATAACAAAAAAATCGATATCTCTAATTTTTGGCCCACTAAAAAATATCAACTAATTGACAAATCTGATAGTAAGGATTGACGGTTAAAAAATTAGATACTGTCAGATTTGTCAATCCACCGATGACATTATTAGCAACAATGTTCTATTGGGTGTTCAAGTTCGGACTAGTATGCATACATATCCATAAGTCATTGATGTGCTCATTCTTACTTGATCATATGTGCGAATGGAAGAGACCAAATTTTCAAGTACGCATGGCATAAAAATATTTCTATTCTGAGCCTAGAAAATCAAGGAAATGATTCCAGCTTATTCCATACATATTGAGCACATTGATTTCAATTTTATTCATATATTTAATCAAGTAAATGGGTTTATAATTACATAATTAAAGTTTTTGATTAAAAGTAAAATTGAGTTTATCATATATAAAGATTCGAGAAGCCTACAATCTTTTTAGGTAATCATTTCTAAGAAGATTTAAGTCTGTTTAAAAATGAATATCTAAGAAACTTTGAGACTTTTCGAAAATGAATATCTAAGAAATTTTGAAATATTTGATAAGATTTGAATCTTTTCAGAAATAAATATTTGAGAAACTTTGAGACTTTTCAAAAATGAATATCTAAGAAATTTTAAAATTTTTTGAAAATAGATATCTAAAAATTCTTAAAACTTTCTATACATTTATTTTTGAAAAATTTTAAAGTTTTTTTTATATTTATTTTCACGAAATTTGATTTTAGGAAGAGAAAAGAGAAAGAAGAAAGAATGGGTAGAAATAGAAAATAAAAAATGAAGGTTGAGATGTATTTAATAAAAAAAAAAAAAAGAGTTTTGCATTTGATGTGTATATAAAAATGGAAGTGTATATAGCATTAAATGGGACGTATTTAAAATTTTCCTCTTAAAAGCAAATAAAATAAAATAACATAAAACCGCTTTATCTCCAAATTGTCTACCTGTTCCACGCTCGCCGGTCACGACAAACACCACCCCTCTCTCTCTCTTGCAAACGAATTAGAACTTTCTTCCTTTACCACTCTCTTCTTTTCTCCTCAAATATTATTACCCACACAAATTTATCTTCTTGGAAAATTTCACAAAAGTTTCCCTTCTCCTTCCCGAATCACAACCGGAAAAACTAAAAAGAAAAAGGAAGAGAGGGAGGGCGGCATCGTTACTTCTGTTTTTGATGGCTTCAATTCCAACCCCGACGCCTCGTAATCTTTCTTTCCTTAGCCCCCAATTTCCTTCCTTAAATAGATCGTTTTACCCTCCTTCTCCTTCTAGGTTTCCTGATTCCACCCTCTGTCGCTGCTCCAATAATTCTTCCGATAATAATCCCATTAACTGGCGATGGGACTCCGCCATTCAAGACGTTATCAAGAATGCCATCAAGCGATTCGATTCCTACATGAACCCTTTCCGGAAAGACTCCACCACCGCCAAAGATGCATCCAACGACGGCGTTTCGGATAAGCTGAGCCGTCGAAGAGACGAAGAGGACGATTGGGATTGGGATTGGGATCGCTGGAAAAAGCATTTCGAACAAGTCGATGAACAAGAACGCCTCCTTTCCCTTTTAAAGGTATTTACGAATCTATGCTTCTTTTTGGCATTTTCTCAATAAAAGTGAGAAATTAATGAACTGTCTTTAATTACATGCTTTAACAGCAATCCCTTTTTTCCCTTTTAACAGTTGCAGTTAAATGAAGCTGTACGTAGGGAAGATTATGAGGGTGCAGCTAGGTTAAAGGTTGCAATTGCTGCTGCTGCTACAAATGACACTGTTGGCAGAGTCATATCCCTCTTAAATGTACTAATTCGATTCTTTTATTAATTTTTTTTCAGAAAAAAAGATGTATTTCCATTGTTCTTACTCACCTGATTTCTCGACACTACAGAGAGCGGTAGTGGAAGAACGTTTCCAGGATGCAGCATTTTTACGAGATAATGCCGGTGCTGGATTGGTAAGTCAACTTTTTTAAGGAAAGAAAAAGGAGAACTTTTTTTTTTTATAGTGGTTAAGTAAATATTGAATTTTTTTTGTCTTTGGTTCCTTCCAGGTGGGATGGTGGGCTGGTCTTTCTGATGATACCCAAGATCCTTATGGTCTAATTATACGTATAACTGCCGAGCATGGCAGATATGTTGCTAGGAGTTTTAGTCCTAGGTAATCAATCCCCTGTTTTTTTTTTTTTTTTTGGTCTGGGACCCTCTGGTGTCCCGTAGCCACTTTGGTTCCCGACTAATCCGGAGTTGAGCCAGATTGGACCCCATAAGGGGCAAGCTCTACCAGGCCAGTTTTCTCCATTCATAAAACTCGAAACCAAGACCTTACTTACTTAAGGGGAACCGAGCACCTTGCCACTCAGACCAACAGGCGTTGGTCAATCCTTGTTTCATACATATATATGTACCTATATATATATATATATATATATATATATCATTTGTATGTTTGTGTACACATGTATATGATCTACTACTACTAAGCATACAGTTAATACGTGGAACATTTCTTGTGTGGATATTTTGCACTGGCTCCTGTTCTATTATGCTTATTGCTTGTACTTATTGATTTGTAATTTCAATGAATGTTTCTAAGTTATTGTTAGACTGATTCTTTCTTTTCAGGGAGCTTGCTACTGCATCAGTCGGTGTACCGTTGTTTGAGATCTTTCTTACTGTAAATAAGAAAGGTGAATACAAACAGCAGGTATCTTTTGCTCCTGTTCTCTTTTTATTTCTTCATAGTTTTCTGATGTTTGAATCGAAGTATTTTACTTAGACGGCAACAGTTTCTGTTAAATTGACAGAAAACCTGGCTTGCAGTAGGTAACTTTGGGAAGTCACCCACGTGTTTTCTATTTGTGTGCATGGATCTAATGATAATAATTCTTGAGCTGGCATTTTTTTTCTGTTTTGATAATTCTTTATTGGGCATTTTTTTTCTGTTTTGATAATTCTTTATTGGTGTATGAAAGTAAATCAATCTTGTATCTAGCTTGATGAAAGTTTTTCATCAATTAAATTGTCCAATGATTTTCAGATTATATGTGTATATCTTTGTGGATTGTTTATTATATGTGTGCCTGTTTCAGTGAGGCATTAGTTCAGTAAGCTGTAGGTATGCTTGTAGGAAGCTTTGAAAGAAAAAAAATGCGTTTGATCTAGCAAATGCATTTAATAATACCTGTATATTCCATCCAGGAACCCTGCTCAGCATTCATAGTTTTATGGTCAATTTGTAGTTTCATTTAATGTTTCTTGAATGCAATCTTATTTGGTGTTTTTTAGGCCGTGTACTTTGAAAGGAGTGTTTTCCGAGATTCTTCTATGGTGTCTTCCAAAACATCAGGAGCCACCAGCCGCTCGAGTCCATCAGGCTTCAGTGAAGACAAAAATGATCTTTTTGTTGCGAGTACTGAAGATGAAGAAGATGGTGATGATGAAGATGATGATGGTGCAGATGATGGATCTGATATGGGTGAGGGACTAACTGGTTTTCAAAATATATTGCGAGATATGATTCCTGGTGTAAAGGTCAAGGTCTTGAAAGTCACTGCACCAGGAAAAGGTGACCGAGATTTTATATCTAAGTTGATTGAGCAGATAGTAGATGAAGAAGATGAAGAAAAAGATGCTGGGGTAGAAAGTATAGAAGTGGATGATGAAATTAAGAGTGAAAGTGACCAAGAGAGAGATCAAATTAAGATGGATGCTGATAGTGGAGTTATTGATAGTGATAGGCCAGGTGAAATTGCAGTTAAAGTTGTTGTCCATGGTCTTGTACAAAAACTTTCTGGCAGTATGCCTACAACAGAATCACTTAGAGTGCCTGCTAAGCTACTGAAAAAGGAGCGCCTAACATTTTCCTTTTCTATAGAAAAAGACATAAATCAACTTGATTCAAGTCGCAAGACAAGGGGTTCATTGGACAGAAAAGCAAAGGTTCAAGGTCAACGCAACATAGAGAACATAATGTTTGATCTTGCTAAATCTATTGGTGGAGAGAAGATACCTTTGAAGGTAGGTTTAATATATTGAATAAATATTGATGAATAATATTTGTAGAATGAGTTCTACAGAGCATTTCCCATTTAAGTTTTTACTGTAGAATGCTTTGTTTGCTAACTGGTTTCAACCATGCAGGTGCTTAAAGATGTTGGTGAATTAATAAATCTCACTCTCAGACAGGCTCAAAATCATCAACCTCTATCTAGATCAACAACTTTCCATCGCATTGAGACTGCAGCATCACCAGATCCTCTAGACGGTGATTTGCAACACCATCTGTTCAGGGTTGTTAATTATTTGATGAAATAATCATTTGCTCTCTCTCTCTCTCTCTCTCTCTCTCTCTCTCTCTCTCTCTATTTAGGCTACTTTCTGTCATCCTTTACTCTGTCTGTTTTGTAATGATGGTTATTCTTGTCTATCATAGAATTATTGTATTTACAATATTTTTGTTTGATCAGGATTATATATTGGTGCACATGGGCTTTACACTTCAGAAGTCATTCATCTTAGGCGCAAATTTGGTCAGTGGCAAGGGGATAGTGGGACTAAGGAGCCTTCAGATCTTGAATTTTATGAATATGTGGAAGCTGTTAAATTAACTGGAGATCCTTATGTACCAGCTGGCCAGGTGATTTCATTATTTAATTTAACTTTCTGTTATGATCATGGAGTTATAAAAGAGGATTATTTATGCATGTGAAATGCAGCTGAATCTCTCATTATTTTCTTTAATTTAGTGGTTCCTACTCCCTGCTTTCCCCCACTCCTATTTTTTGTTTATGTATGTTTGTCTTTGAAATGATTATCTACCTTTATTTGGTTTGTTTCCTAATACCTTGGAATTTCTATAGGTAGCATTTCGAGCTAGAGTTGGTAAAAGATATCAGCTCCCACACAAAGGGATAATTCCTGAAGAATTTGGAGTGGTACATTTTATCTTACATTGTTAGCTTGTAAAAGTTTAAATTTGTTGCTATCCTTTGTTTGAATTTTTCTTTTTGATACCCTCTTCAAATGTTAAGGAGATCTGTGGTCTTATTTGCAACTTAGGTTGCTCGATATAAGGGACAAGGGAGGCTTGCTGAGCCAGGCTTTCAAAATCCTCGATGGGTTGATGGCGAGCTTGTTATTCTTGATGGAAAGGTTTATCTCGTTTGTCTGATAATTTATTTGATTTGATGTCTTTATTTTTCAAATGGATACTGATTATTTGGTGTACTAACTTGCTAATTCGAACAGTATGTCAAAGGAGGGCCTGTTGTTGGATTTTTATATTGGGCACCTGAATATCACTTCTTGGTGTTCTTCAATCGACTAAGGCTTCATTCATAGTCTGTTTGTATATAACATATGGGCATTCTTATTATTTGTTCAGATAAAACGGGGTAAGTACTTCCTAACTGTAAAGTAGGTGTAAGAAATGTGTCTGAATTTATTTTCATTGCCTCATGGCTCTTTTGGGTCTACTCCATATTTCTGTTTGAATGGTAAGCCTATTAATTCTGCTTTCATCCGGATAATTTTCCTAAATGCTCTAATGCCTTGTTGGTTTAGACTGTAGACTTCATTTAGGCATGTGGCATCAATTATAGTCTGCAAAAGTGATCAATTGGTATATTTTGTGAACAATTGAGTAAATATCTGATTTCACTACCTCCTTTTTCCACCCCTCCCAGGTCCAGTCATGCTTGGTATGTCCTATTTGTGAACGATAAGAGATTATTATAGCATGCAGTAATGTGTGTATAACACACACACACACACATATATATATCTGTTTGTGTATGTGTCAGGGTGTGTGCGTGTGTGCGCGCGCGTGTGTGGGTTTGTATGGTCGCATTAATGACATTGTATTAACTTGCGGATCCATCTCCAGAGGAACTTGATTTGTATGCTTTTTAAAAATAATTGTTATTTATAAGGTTGGTATCAGTTTGTGTAATTAAGAGTAAGCAGTATGGGATATTTTCTTTTCCTTTTCTCCCTCTAAAATATCGCTGAAACATAGCATTTAAGGGTAACATTTGTTAGATTTCTTTGCTATTTTCATTAAATATTCAACATTTGAAAATTTCCTTAATTGTGTGTTTTGCAGTTCAACACGATACTTGTCACTGAATAGTGGAGCAGCAAAGAAAGCAAGTGATTTGAAGGCCCACCTGACTTATTGTTTCTGCAGTAAACATATTGATTCTATGGAAGTGACCATTGAACTTTGCAAGATTCAGTGAAAAAACATTCAGTCTTTCTGCTGCCTGGGTTCGTGATAAGTCCTTTCCTTCAATCCATCTCGTAATTTTATCATGTGTCCATCATTTCCCAAATCAAGGCGTATCTGAATCATCATAGCAATAGGTTCAGTTATTGTAAATTTTTACAATTCTAACTACATCCGAGGTCGTAGATTGAATTTGGACTTGCAATAGTGAAATACGCAATGCTTTTGGATGGCCTTATTTTGTGATGCAGCTAGCTGATAAGCCTCAAAATGAATCCATCTGTAATTATCTTCGTTTTTATTTCCTTTTGCTCAATGATAATCAATGTAGCCTGAAGAGCAAAATTGTTACTCAAAATGTATGCATTTATTTTTGAGTTGGTCTAGATCATGAAGTGCTGCAGAAAGCATAAATTTCAAACTTGACATATACTAATACATGCTATTGCTTGATCTTTATTTAGAAGAAAGTGAGGCTACTAATGTCAAGATAGTCTGTTTACATTACATGCCATGCTTCAGATAGCACGAATCTCAGACCTACTGGCTGCAGTCCGCAGTAGTTAATTGCCTATTTGGAGCACCAAATGAGACTTCGTTTGCTATCTTGGCTCCCCTTTCTTTTGCCATGTAAAGGCCTACATGATGCATAAACTCCTGCAACAATAAAATCAGCAAGTCAAGTGATTTTCGGTTTACCTCGATTCAAATCATGTCTTGCAAATACGAATCCGACTACCTGAGGGTGAGGCAAAGCTCCTTTGGTGTTTCTGGCAATATGAAGAGGAACATCAAAGGTTGCACAGGCATTTGAATACACAATAACATCCATGAGAGGAGCCAGGAAACCTCGATTCCGCGCTGATAAAGTTGAACACACGAAATGCAGCACACAGATATCTGTGCATATGCCTACTACCAATAACTGTGACCACCAAAATCATGGTTTCAATAACTCATATCCAACTACCTGGGAAAAATTTTGAAAAAGAAAAAGCAATTAAAAATGCTTGACTCTAGCACCGCTACTGAAATTTTGTATTGAGTTCTTACAACTTTAATCTGGTTGTTCTTCACCCAATCCACAAAAACATTCGAACCATCAACTTCCATCGAACCCAAATATCCATCATAGCAATCTTTCCGCCTGATTGTCACGTTTGTTTCATTTTCTATCCATCGCAGAGCTGCATTTTTAAGAATATTAACCAAAGATACGTGAGAGAAAGAAATTTAACCTGTTTTGTCAACTCTAACATCAAAACAATGATATAATTGATACAAAGAAATCCGAACAAGACATTGATCTAGAATTCATCATATGGGCCTAAAAGGAAAAGTAAATGTATACCTGGAACCAAATTTGATTCATCGGTGCCAACAATACAATGAGGAGGATAGGGATCCTCGGGCTTGTCAGGATGATGAGAATCAAGAAACGCCATAACAGGCAATTTCTTCTCGCAGAAAAGTCTTGCCAGCCTTGCCGATTCGCTGAGCATCCCCGAAATTTGACTGTTGGGTTCTCTTGGAGCCTAAAACCAAAAAATTATTGCTATAAAGTTCCTGATTGAATGCAAAAAACACTTTCTAACATGATCCTTTTCACCATACATGCTTACACTTGGATATGTGCATATTATGAGTGTGTACATACAAAGAAAAGTAACCTCAAATATAGTTGTATGACATGGGAAACATCTATCATATCAAAATAGTTAAAGGGTGATGACAGATACCAGATTTCCAGCACCGACAGTGCAGAAGCCATTGATGATATCCACAAGAACAAGACCAGTCACAACATCTTCAGGCAAAACCACAGCCTCCTGCTCAAGAGGGAGCTCGTTCTTCAAAAGGTCAACTGTTTGGGATACCATTTTTCCAATTTATTAGCAGTTTACCTCAAAATACAAAACCAAAATGAGGTTATATGATACAGCTTGAAAAAACTCAATTATTGGATTTAGTCAAAAAGGTTAAATAATTAAGAGGATAAGACGTGCGGATCCATCCAACATAATTTTCGTAGACAATTGTAAAGAGCTTCTGTTTCAACTTTTCTTGATTGTAATGGTATCAGCTATCATGCGGGATGCACGGTACATTTGGATGTAACATATTTTCCAGTCATGAATAAGGGCCACAGTTTTTGTATCTCCTAAAGGATATTTTTATAAGATGTTCGTAGAGTGGATTCACAATAAAGTTTATAAATTAATCACACACGATTGACTCCTAAAATTTAAGAGTTGTCTTTAAAATAATTTTATTTAATTATTAAAAAATAACTTTTTGGAAATGTTTGGTTTGAAGAAAAGTAATTTTTTTCTCATAAATCTTATTTTTAATAATTTGATTCCTTACTTTAGTTCACGGCAATGTGATTTTTGGGTTTTTTAAAATTTTAATAATATTAAAAAGTGAGAAAATAGGGGAATAAAAAACCTCTAATCTTCTTAAAGATTTTTAAAAATTTAGAAGGAAAGTGAATTTTTTTTCCTTTAAATGCTCTCATTTAATTGCATTTTCAAATTACATAAACAATGTTATATACTTTAGAAACGTAGCAATTTTTTATAAAATATTATGAAAATAATTTTTTTGCTCAATATAATTTTTTTAAAAATCACATTTTTAATTCAATATTATTGAAATCTTCACAAAAGTTATAATTAAAAACATGATTTTTGTTGAAAAGATGAAAAAAATTATTTTTCATAATTCAGCAAAACAATATTTTTAAAATAAAAAATGTGATCTTTGTTAAAAATATGAAAATATGGCTTTTCAAAATTTAACAAAGGTGATGCTTTTCAGATAAAAATGTAATTTTTATTGAAAAGATGATATTTCTAAGATAAAAATGCAGTATTTGTTATTAACATAAAAAATATATATTTTATAGAATTCAACAAAAATAACATTTCTAAGATAAAAAGATGTAGTTTTTATTGAAAAGATAATGTTTCTAAAATAAAAACACATTCTTTGTAGAAAACATGAAAAAATATTTTTTAAAAAATTTAATAAACACAACGTTTCTAAGATAAAAAATGCAATCTTTATTAAAAACATGAAAAAATATAGTTTTCATCAATAAAAACGATGGTTTTAAGATAAAAATATAGTTTTTGCTAAAAAAAGAAAAAAATATAATTTTTAGAATCTAATAAAGATGATGTTTTTAAGAAAAAAATGTAGTTTTTATTGAAAATATAAAAAAATATATTTTTTAAAATTCAATAAAGATAACATTTTTAAGATAGAAATCATAATCTTTGTTAAAATTATGAAAAAAAATATATATTCAAAATTTAATAAAAACGATGTTTCTACAAAAATAAATGTAGCTTTGGTTGAAGAGACAACATTTTTAACATAAAAATATAAACTTTGTTGAAAGAATGAAAAATGTATTTTTCAAAATTCAATAAAGATAATGTTCTATGATAAAAATATAATTTTTGTTGAAAAGATGATTTTTTAAATATAAAAAATGCAATCTTTCTTAAAAATATAAAAAATAAAATACAAAATATCTTTATTTAATATTATTACATATAAAATCTAAAACATATGTACTAATATTATTACACAAAATTTGTTTTAGAGAACCCTCGAAAATCTTCAGGAGGGAAGGAGGTATACTACTCATTTTCAACTCCCATATTTACCTTACCATCAAGGTCAATCCTAGTGTTTTTTTGTGTAAAGACAATAACATTTTGACAGTAATTAGAATTATAATATTATATTTATTAAAAAATATAATTTTTTTTCAAAATTATTTAATTTCAACAAAAAAACATATTATTCACATATCAATATAATGGATGTCACTTGTTATTCATACATTATTAAAGATAATATAATAAAAACTTTTATTAGGTAATTTTACATTCTCATGAATCAAATACAAAAAATTTTACATCTTCTAAATCAATAAAACAATAAAATCACTTATCTCTTTTTAATATATTTTTTTCTTAAATCACTTTCTCTCACAAAATTTAATAATTCATGAATAAAACAATCATTAATATCTTTGAGGTTTGTCAGGCCAAAAGGCAAAGCTAAAAGTAAAATCTTAAAAAACATTTATTTTTCTTGTAAATACCCATTTTGTCTAGTATTAGTTAATTATGCTTTTTTTAATTTTAATTTTAATTTTTTTCTTTTTCTTGGCCTTTTTTTATCTTGTTGCCTAAACATCAAATACAACCATCTTCAAATCCAAATTTTTTGTCACTGTTAAATCACACTGTCAACCATTGGCAACCACCTTAATAGCTAGTCTAATTTTAGGCAATCAAAGTTCAACAAAAATCTTAGACTTTTTGAGATTTTGATCTTCATTTGGCTTTATAAATAAATCCACACAAAGAACCCACAAAATTAGAAAAAAACCAATCTAAGAAAAAAACTTAGATAAAAAAAAGTTTCACCAAATTTAAAAAAAATCTTTCTATAAAAAAGAACCCAAAACCAAAACAGAAACCAAATAACCAGAACACAAAAACATAACCCCTAGTAGTAGGAAAACACAACGCCAAATCAAAAAAACTTTTCATTTTGGTTGAATCTTCCAAGCTTGATTTATGCCATTTGGAGCCATTTCTTACAAAAATAGACCCAGATCTGTATTAAAGGGGTTGAGGGAAAGTTTTTTTTTGGTTTTTTGGCAACTAACGTCAACAAATGGCAAACGACACGACTCACTGGATTATGGGAGTAACAATAGTTGGTTGGGATTTTAGAAAGAGAGGGAGTATGTGAGAGAAAGAGTTAAAGAGAGAGGAAGAATAAGGAAAATGAAATAAATTTTTTTGTTTTTATAATTAAAAAAAAAATGAAACGACGTCGTTTAAAGGCCAAAAGATTCGTGCATGGATCGAGGTCCACACACCTGACCTGTGATCTGATCTTATCCCCTATTGATCGGTCTAGCTGAACCAATTGACTAAACCATCTAAACCACCTTTTTTGACCAATGTTGACCAAAGGAATTTTAGGTATTTTATCATAACTTTTTTATTTTTTATTTTTTTACCCAAATTTTTTATATATTTCTATTATTTAATTTTTTATTTTTTGTTATTTTTATATTATTTTTGTATAAAACTCTTGATAGAAAAATAAAATAAATGGTAGAAAATATAAAATATTTTTAATTGAAATTAATTTTAAAATAATTGTTAAAAATAAACTTAGGAAAATTTTAACTTTTAATTTTCTCTTAAATAATTTTAAAATAATAAAATGAAATAATGAAAATTAAAATCTTAAATGAACAAGAGAAAGAAAAATATAACAAAAAAAAACAAAAAATAATAAAATAATAATAAAATAACAATGAAGTCACAAGTGGTGACTTTATTAAAAATATTCACATAAATAAAATTTTAAAATATTCTAAAAATATTAGAAATATTTTAGAATTTTCAAGTATATAAAAAATAAAAAATAAAAAAATAAAATCACAAATAGTGATTTTAATAAAAATATTTAAACAAAAAAATTTCTAAAATTTTCTAAAATGTGTTGAAAATATTTTAGAATTTTTCAAACATAAAAATAATAACAATAATATTCATTTCGAATAAATAGCAAGAATTAAATAAATACAAAATATAGTAATCACAATAGTAATAAAATCACAAGTAGTGATTCTTAAAAAATTATTTTTTCAAAATATTGCCATAAGTGTTAGTAAGATTTTTTAAAATCTTTTGAATAAAATTAATAAAATATAAAATACTTAAATTGTCAAAGTAAATAAAATTTTACAAGAATAAAAGTCACAAGTGGTGACTTTATCAAAATTTCTTAGGCAAACAATTTTTAATCCAAATATTCCAAAAGTGTTGAAAATATTTTGAGATTTAACCAATGAATTTTTTTCTCAATAATAAAAATAAACAATAAATAAATGTTCCAAAGTAAATTAAATTTTTCTTCAAAAATAAAATTAAGAGAAATCACAAGTGATGATTTTCCTCTAATTTTTTAAATCATACTACTTCACTTCAAAATATTAAAATAAATTTGACGACGAAACCCTTTCAAAGAAATAATTGATTTCTTTGAAAACACTTAAAGTGAAAAAATTTCTTAAGTTATATCGAAAGTGTCGAAAATAACTTTTGAAAATTTTCAATAAAAATAAAAAAAACGATAAGGTAGTAAAAGACTATTTGAACAAGACTAGTTTAGGATCATATAAGATTAATTGGTACCGTTTTTAGATAGGTGTTGTGGGAGTGTTATAACATTTCCTACATGTAATCGTACTCCTGAACCCAACCTTAAATTCATAAATCAAAAGATAGGATTGGTGGCCAATTATACATTGACAAAAAAGATTGATAGTGACTCCTGACTTTTTACATTTAGTGATCAAGTCCCCGAACAAAAAATTATTATGATAGCTTGGTGACTCCGTTGGAGACTTAGAGAGTCAAACCAAAAATTAATTTTAATATGATCATAGGTCTTGGCTGAATAGTCTAGTTTTTTTTATTCGTTTATTTTATTGATTCATTTAACTAATTTCTCATTTATTTGTTTATTTATTTGTTTGAAAGGGGTTTAAAAATCTGTTTCATCACACAGTGCACATACATATCATAACATAAGCTCTAGACCGGGGTTCCATCTTTCTTGGGATGAGGTAAAGTACCTATACTCTCATGATGTATTAACCTCTACAATGGTTATCGAAATACTCTTACTTAAATTAAATCATTTCTGTTTGTAGCTTATTATGGACGAGGATCGAAGTGCCTTACTAGTCCAGCCTGGATGACAGTGAAGAATAATTTAGGAATCTTTAACTTGTTATCATTCCCTAGCATATAAATAACCTAGGAAGCCTACCTTAAGATAAGCTATGACCATTTATTATTTATAATTAAACACATAGGAACACATAAAGGAACAGGTCGTGATTGTTTAAACTTTTTATTATTTATTTTATGCATCATTGTATTTTCATATAGGGAGTTGTTTGCCACATACCAATTTTGACAAAACAAATCTCAATTATATCCATAAAAAGCTTAGAGTAGCCTCAATTCACATCGATCCAATATGATGCCTTGAAAATCATATTAGAGGAAACA